TCTTCTATACGCACCAACGATATCAGAACTAATGGAAACCCTACAAAAGGTTTTAAAAATATTTAGGGAAGAAGGACTTACTTTAAATTTGAAGAAATGTTCATTCCTTAAGTCATCTGTAACTTACCTAGGGTATGATATCGAGGAAGGTACAGTGAGACCAGGAACTGACAAGATAAAAGCGGTCGAACATTTTCCAACTCCAAACTCCGTTCATCAAATAAGACAATTTCTGGGCCTAACGGGATATTTCCGTCACTTTGTTTGCAATTATGCTTCCATAGCTTACCCACTAACAAGTCTAATCAAGAAAGACGTATCCTGGAAATGGGAACAAGACCAAGAAAATGCATTTCAGAAGTTGAAATCAATTTTATCAACAAGACCGGTTTTAAGTTTGTTTAATCATGACTTACCGACTGAAGTCCACACCGATGCCAGTCAATTAGGATTAGCTGGAATTTTGTTCCAAAAGCAAACTGATGGAAGGTTACATCCAGTAGCATACTATAGTAGACAAACAAATGGAGCAGAAAAAAAATATCACTCATACGAATTGGAGACTCTCGCAATTGTAGAAAGTTTGAGAAAGTTTCGCTCATATCTATTAGGAATTTCATTCATCGTTGTGACAGATTGTAACTCGATCAAAGCTGCAAGCAAGAAAAAACAACTCATACCACGCATAGCAAGATGGTGGCTGGAATTACAGGAGTTCACCTTTGAGGTACAATATAGACCTGGAAATCGAATGAGTCATGTCGATGCCTTAAGTCGGAACACTGCGATGGCTGATGAAACTCAAAATGAAGTTATTTTGCACATTGAAGAGGCAGATTGGGTGTTATCTGGTCAGTTAACAGACGACAAAATCCGAGGAATTAAGGAAGTGTTGTCTAAAGCTCCAACAACAGAGTATGAAAAACATGTTTATAAAAACTACTGTCTGAGAGAAAATAGAATATATCGTATCACGGCTAAGGGGATATTATGGTTAGTACCAAAAGGTATGAGACAACGGATTGTTAAGACGGCACATGACGATCTAGGCCACTTTGGAGTAGAGAAGACCTTGAAGAAATTATGTGAAAGCTATTGGTTTCCACGAATGCGTCCTTATGTCGAAAAGTACATCAACTTTTGTATATCTTGCCTGTATAGATACGTCAAAATAACTTATTTGGTTGAGGATGACCCAATGGAATGATGGATACCTCGAGACGAGATATTTGCAGGATGGCCGACTGTAAGAATTCATTTTTTTCCTTGAACGAAACGCCTAGTATAAAAATTACATGGGTACCTAATTCTAAGGGAAACTGATCATTTCGATAACCTAAACAAAACTCGCAAAGGCGTGATGGTATTGTTTATATTAACACCATTAAGATAAAATGGGTATCGAGTGTCTCAGCATCTTGGGAGAAATTGTATTTTCATTTTCATATAGTTCTTTGCCGAGTATGTTTAATGATATCTGCTCTTTTCCTTGAAATTATTGGTTACCTAGTGATTTACTGACTTATAGTTATTGTGACTTTCGTGGCTGTGAATTATCGTTGCACGAATCTGGTGAGTCTACTCACGGGCAAAATAATTTACCTATGTACTTGCATTTTATTTGATTATTATTTAATTGTTGATATTTTACTGGTTACAATGAGGTATATGTATCTGTCGTTCAGATGCTAGACACAGTCGTTCGTGTCGATTTTAGACGCTGTCGTTCAGTGTCGCATATTCCTGTCGTTCGGAATATTACTCCTGTCGTTCGGAGTATTTGGCATTGTCGTTCATGCCCTTATACTGTCGTTCAGTATTTTGTAATTGTAATCATTAAAAATCACTAACATTGATATTCTTGTTAATTACAATAGCAGAAAATCAATGGATGAAGATCAAATGTTCACACAATAAGTCAGTTTGATTCAATAACTTGTTCAGGCGAATTCTTTTGCTCAAGGAATGGTTTTTCTTCAATTTACAGGCAGATATCAAAAGATTCAACCAAAGACGGCCAACCTAGTTATAATCAGATGATTTCAATGATCGCCCAATTGATGTAAGTAGTTGATGAGTTCGTTGATTATTTTTATTTTATTCACAAAGAGGCTTCATTGATTATGATGAGGTCCTCACACAAGATTGATTTTTTTGAAGTTATGACAACTTGAGAATTGTCAAAAATTTGAGACCGCTCTCGTATTTTCCTGAAAAAATTTTGAGATCAATAAATTTGTTTCGAACCGGGTTTCTGATAAGGAACAAAGACAGAGGTGGGTTCGAAGTTCATGTTCTGATCGACTAACGATTGAATAGCTAGATCGGTGAGTCTAGCAACTCAAAATTGTCCTATACAGACCAGAGGCTGATCGCTGTTCATCTTGAGTAATCCAAGACTACGCACATTATCATAAATTTACTATCAAACAGTTGCATAATCTGTTTGGGGATTTCCTTTGTTTACACGTGTGATTTCTGAGAAATATTGCATTTCAGTGACATGAATAATTTTGAGAAATTTTGATCTACAAGTGGCGAACAATAATTTCGATCCACTACAATTACCTACACAAGGCTTAGGTATATATTCTATATAACCGCAGATTTTGTAGTTGACTCAGTTCATTCTAGGCTAATATCAGAGGTATAATTATATTACGTATGTATTAACTTTACATTGACATCTGAGTCGATGATGAATATCAGGTAGTATTAATTCATTCTTCGATAAAACAAATACTGGATGTATCCTTATTGCTATGTACCTATATACATATATCGAAGACTGGAACCTTTGGCACGATAATACACTACACACTGTTTTACCACTAACCAAACCGATTGTTTAAACGCCTGAAGATGCTAACATAGTTGGCGAAACACGTGTCGGGACGTTTAAAAAATCGGTTTGGTTAGTGGTAAGACACTGTATAGTGACCTATATACAGTCGTATTCAATAAAAAAGCGTACAAGCATAGATTAACGACTTTGTTAATCTATGGTACAAGTATATTAAAAAAAGAGGATTCCGGGATCCTAGTTCTAGTTGTGTAAAACTGGCTCAGCCAATGCTTTGTGTTTTCGAGAACCTATGACAACTTTACTATCAACATTTGGTGAACAATCATTCCCGATAGCCCGTTTTATGCAGAATAGGATGAAGTTGATTTCCCTCTGTAATATACTTGTACGGTTTTTTTTTCTGAATGCGACTGTACGTATTTAAAGATTCAACTTTTTTGTCTATCTCATCAGGTTTATAGGTTTATATGAATATGTGTCCTAACTTTTTTGAGATAATGGTTTTCAAATTAGAAATATCAGTTTTTTATGATCACCGCGATTGAGCATCAAAAATCCATTCCAATTATTTCAATCGAGCCCTCACAGACTTTTACTATAGATAAGTATGCTCAACTGTATATATGACATATTGAAACTAGTCCTTGCAAAAACAATTCCTACTCATTCTTTTATAAAAATAATCGTATAGAAATTTAGAATTAATACACTTACCTTGGAGTCACATTTACGAGTTCTTCATTTTTCCGACAGATGGCCAACATCACCTCAGAAAAAGCAAAACAAGCAACAGGAGCAGTACTCCTCATAATGGCTTCTGCCAAATTATATTGCTGGAATTCTCGGGTTCACCTATTTTAATCATTGGTACAAAGTGTGCTGTTGAACTGTGTACCAGTGTGGGGTCTTAGATACCCAGAAATCTTAGAGAGAGTACAACTCAACTTCTTCAAACGGCTCTTGCAATTGGCTACTACAACACCTGATTATGCAGTCAGGATAGAGACAGGCCAAGTCAGATAAAGGTATATCATCTTCGAACACACCTTGAATTGGGTTATTAAGATACGAAAATATGCCTTCTTCGTCAAATTCACAATTCAAATGTCAACTCGAGTACGCGGATTCCTCCTACTCGTTGAATGAGTTGAACAGCAGTATCCTAAGGCGGAACGAAAAAATAATTCTCACTAAATACTTCGAGAAACTAAGGGAAAATCATATGGCTCTATTGAATGGATCCTCAAGCTCCCTCATCCTTTATAGCTACTTTAAAATGAATACTGGTGCCCAACAGTACCTACACATGAGAATCCCTATTTCGGTTACTCGAACCCTGGCTCAACTCAGACTCGCTAGCAAATACGCCATTATAAATTCACATATAACAGAGCTACCTATCGAATGAATCCTGCTGAAATATGTACCATCTGCAATCAACATCAATATGAAACAATCAATCATGTCCTATTCGATTGTCCGATCTACGTCACGATGAAACCTCCAGATCTACCTCTCTCTGATTTGAACGGGTTGGTTAACCTCTTCAATGATATTACGCCCTCATCTGTAAAAAGTCTGAGTACCCACATTTGGAATATTTGTAAACTCAGATCCTTTATTATGAACGAATGAAAGCTCAGTGAATGTGCTTCAGGCTGAATGTATAATGGACTATATTTTATTCGAGGATTTTAGCACATAGCTTTTCGTCCACTTAGATTTAATGCACTGACATGTAGTGTATAATAGGTATCTACTTATGTTTGTAATGGGACAGAGAGCGCCTGATTTAGGGTTTATACTTTTTTTTTCGTTCTTTCTTATTATTTTCTTCCTACTCGCTTATGGTTTCTATCATTTGATTATTTACTTTTTCACCACTGCATCAATTCGGTGGTGTATCAGTATTAGTCATAAGTTTTTGCTGCCTCGAACTGTATGAACTGCTTGTTATAAAACCACGTGTTTCTGTAAACAATAAAGATTCTATTCTATTCATATTGAAACTAAGAACTTTTCGACATTCCTTCGTATCAACTCTCGCTTAGGAAAAATGTAGGTCAGCTTCAGACGAACAAACCGAGATTCTCGTAAACCAATCACATGACACTTTTACTTTCTTGAGGCCTCCCTGAGGCACTTATAAGATACAACGTAATCCATGCAATATTTGACACAGTCCTTTCGAGCAATGAAAAGTGTAAGTGCGTTGATCTTATTGGCAGTTCTGGCGATTGCCAGTGCCCAAAATAGGTACACTAGCAAATATGACAATGTGGATGTTGATAAAATACTGAAAAACGATAGGGTGCTGTCAAATTACATCAAATGCTTATTAGACGAAGGACCGTGTACTCCAGAAGGCAGAGAATTGAAAAGTGAGTATATTGTTCGATTTAGTTCATTGAATCACGAGGCATCAGTTACCATGGTTTAAATATCTGAGTTTGGCAAAATCAACTAGGTCCAATTAGGTAAACGAGATAGCTATCCCAAATATCGACACCTCAATATATGTATAATAATATATTATACACTTGATAAAGTTTTTTTGTAGTATGTACTCACTATGAGTAAGTAACTTGTAATTTGAATTTGAATAACAATGAAAGTTAAAACACAAAATGATAATCTCAATGGCGTAGCTAGAACATATTCATCAAAAGAACATATCACAATGAACAAAACAGTCAAATAGGCATAATAAGTATGTTGAATGATGTATACTGATGCATTCTTTGTCACCCAACAAAAATCTGAATAGCATAGATACGTCACTGCAACGTCATGAGAGTAAGTAACGGTTTCAATATAGGTATACCTAAACAATCATTTGTATATATACATAGCTTTCCGAAATATTCAGTGTGTCAAAGTTTTTTGATAAAAGTTTTCTCCTACTTTTCGGGTATATTGGTAATTCCAATAAAACTTGCATGTTGATTTGCTTTCATGAGTTATACTTCTGTTTAACATTATAATATATAAGTATCCATGGTTTAGAGAAGGTGTGGGAAAAATGGACGTCGACAGGACGTTTTCCTTTACCCATCTAAGTGACGTTCACTCGACGTCGAAACGATGACGTGATTATCACGTCATAAAAAGTACGTCATAGTGACGTCATAAATTGGTGTGTGGCGTCTCTGACGAAGAATCACCAATCAGGGACGTCACAGTGACGTGATCATTCTGCATCTGGTTGTCTGGGAAATGGACTAATATGCACTGATGGCTGATATTGACCCTTGGAGGAAGTAAATGAGTTATTATTATTTGTTTGGTAACATTTTCTGAAGGTGCATTTTTCACGGATTAGAAACGATGACGTGATTATCACGTCATAAAAAGTACGTCATAGTGACGTCATAAATTGGTGTGTGGCGTCTCTGACGAAGAATCACCAATTAGGGACGTCATAATGACGTGATCATTCTGCATCTGGTTGTCTGGGAAATGGACTAATATGCACTGATGGCTGATATTGACCCTTGGAGGAAGCAAATGAGTTATTATTATTTGTTTGGTAACATTTTCTGAAGGTGCATTTTTCATGGATTAGAAACGATGACGTGATTATCACGTCATAAAAAGTACGTCATAGTGACGTCATAAATTGGTGTGTGGCGTCTCTGACGAAGAATCACCAATTAGGGACGTCATAATGACGTGATCATTCTGCATCTGGTTGTCTGGGAAATGGACTAATATGCACTGATGGCTGATATTGACCCTTGGAGGAAGCAAATGAGTTATTATTATTTGTTTGGTAACATTTTCTGAAGGTGCATTTTTCATGGATTCAAGAAAGTGTAATGACAATTCGAGAGAATGTTCATTCCTATCAAAGGAAATGGCATGGGGATTTACTTAGAATGATACAAATACTTTTCTTCAATGAAGAAACACTTTATGATAGTATTTCAAAACAAGGACATCGTTCAAGAACTCTGGATTTGTTTACCGAAGACTGTAGTTCTCAGGAATCTGTTGATATGAACCAAATGAATAGAAAATGAGCTGATAACTACCTAAATCATTATGTAATGAAAATGCCTTATTCCTTCTACAGCAACAAAATTGCTCTTGTTTTATTGTGTTGGATACATCAATGAGATACTATTTAAGCCATCAATTTTATTTCCGTATCTGATATCACAATGAATCCATTGTGTTATTATTTCAAAAAAGTCTCATTGCTCATGGATTGTCAAATTTCAAGCAATGGCAGCTTTGCCGAATAGATGAGCATTACTTGAGAGGAAATCAGATGCCTGCAAGACGAAGAAATCAAAAATGTCGCTGTTATCTGTTACAACCATATAAGAATTATAGTACATACTATTTTCTACGGCAATGACACAAAACTGTTGATTCTTGTGTTGGTGTTTTTCATGTAACAATGAGGTACCTATTCATTATACAATGAATCAGGTCTTCCATGCATGGATGACGAATATCAAGCAAGGAATATTCAACTGATGATAGGTATAATTAAGATTGAAATAAAACATGTCAAACAATCACATGATCAGTGAAAGTATTGTACAGGGTATCCCAATTTGGGCACTTTTTGCGGGGTATCTCCCTTATCAGTGAAGATAGAGCATTGCGGTTTTCGCGACAGTGTGCTACTTTTTTATGAAATTAATATGGCACAAGCAGAATTGTGATAGCTCTCTCGGTTGTCGAGATACAGGGTGGAATTGAAAAATATCACTTTTTAGGCACCCCCCGTGTCACAGTTATCTTTGAGCTTGTCGAAGAAGTTAAAACTTTTTCTAATAGACTTTTTCTCGTAGAATCCAGTGGCGTAGTAATTTTTTGCTAGCACCTTTTGTTTTTTAGTTATGGAGCGAACATATGTTTTTTTGAATGGAACATTGTACATTATTTCATATATTCATTAAGCATGAAGTGGGCTTTCCAAGAATATATAATTATATACAATTATTTCTGAAAACAAGCTCAGAATTGCAGATTTTCAAAAATTTTCTTCTGTGTCCAATTATAATAGGTAGGCTATAGCTATTTTGTTTGAAACAAAAAGCAAAATGTCAAAAACTTCACGCACTATTGTCAGTTTCTGATTATTAGAGAAATATTTTTGCTGTTTTGGTATTTCTAATTCCCGATACAAAATATTTAATTCATTTTACAACATGGCGGTTCACGATAATAATGAAAAGTATGATTCAATAATGATGTGAATGCAAAAATTATGACGACAAAATGAATAGAAATATCTGTGATTATCTATCTGAACGTTCCATAACCGGAAGCCCCTTTGTAGGTTCAATACCTTCTAAGGCATTATAGAATATTCAATATGTTATTACAATCCAAAACAGTCTGGAAGATTTTAGAAAATACTGGGACGTCCTCGAGTCTCCTAAGAGATTGTTCACCTTTATATAACATTCCAGAACATTCTCGGAACTTCTGGAAGAATCTATGGATCATTCTTTCCCAGTGTCGGATTTAGACCACAGTAGGGACAAAAATATTTAAAATTCCGACAATTAAACACAAGAAAACCACTTTTCTTTTAATATTTTTCATGAACAAGTTTTTCCCATTGTTTCACCCATAGTACTTGTCACAATCATGGTTTCATCGTTCTTGGATATTGAAAAATAATTCTCTGAAGATATCAATATGTCAAATGGCCCTGATAAGCAGTTGCAATTTACTACCCATCTTGATAGAGTATGCCAATGACTGAGTGGGAAAATACTTGTCAGTCCATATAGGACTATGGAAAAAACCTATCTACGGAGATATTTTGATACTACATTCTTGAAGATTGAAATTTCAGAGTGACATTTCCAAACATTGAAATTGCACTGAGAATGTATTTGGTTTTGATTGTATCAATAAATTGCACTGGAGAGCGCTCATTTTCAAAAATGAACATAAAAAAAGTAGTCAATATATGGATAATCAACATCTCTGGAGATGTCACGAATTTTCGAGATACAAAAAGTAGAAGTCGAATACATAAACCTCATCTATGTTATATTAGCAACGCATCATTATATAATATGATTGTGCAATGTTGACCAATGTTGATTTTGAATAATATGATACCTTTTTCATTTTCAGAAACTCTTCCTGATGCCTTGGCGAATGGTTGTGATATATGTAATCCAAAACAGAAGGATACAACAGAAAAAGTGATGAAACACTTGGTGACGAAAAAAGCCAAAGAATGGGAAGGACTAACCAAAAAATACGATCCACAAGGGCTCTACAAGCAACGTTATGAGCAACATTTGACAAAACTCACCGTCAATTGAAGATGTTGATCAATAATTATTTTCATGACTTCATTGTGGGGGTGTTCCTGTTAGAGAGTTCTCTATCAAAATTCTCTTCTAGCCAAAAATACTGATAGTTTGGTAATCTGAACAATTTTGTACCTTCATAATAAGTACAGGGTGGGCAAAATTGGGCGTTTTCACCGTCTATCTCAATAACTAGAGGAGTTATCGAAAAACCGATATACATGTCCCGGGTTCGATTTTGGAGAAACCTCGAATGGCACAATCGAAATTTCGATATCTTCATTCGTTTTAGAGATACAGGGGGAAATTGAAAATTTGCCGATTTCAATTTTATTTTCTGACTACTTTACGGTGAGAGGTATCAAAAAATTTCAAACGTATATTTATACAGTATGATGCGTGGAATCCATTGGCACCATCAGAAATTGTATACAGGGTGACGTTGAAAAGATACGGCAGCCAATTATGTTTTTTCTAATGGAACGCCCCGTATATTTTGACACAGTTGATTAGTCTCAGGCGTTCTCATCACAATTATATATTGATCTTACCTTTTCCTTCCACAATTTTAGATATATTCGCAAAAATATATTCAGTGTGTCACATTTCTTATGGTTACACCCCCGTATATTCTGTAAAAATAATTGAGGTAGGATTCAGAAATTCGCAACTGTCAGAAAGATACAAATGATACACTCATGGAGTCATGGACCAAATGAGATCATCTCCAATGATAACACTGCTCGCCAGCAACTATGGAATCATCGATATTTCTGGATAATGCTATCAACAGGCAGAATCGAGGTTGAAAATGACACTCTGTATATATTCACCAAAGGTGGAAAATAAATATCATAGGGAATGCTATTTCCAGACAAATGGATATTTGGTGAGAAATAAAATGGGAAATTATTCGATTTGATATCATTGTTATCAAGACATTTGAGATACAGAAATAAGACCAATAATTTACTCAATTGGGAAATTAGGAAATCAGTAGGTTGCGTTGAAAAATAAAGCCTTATAGAAGATGTCAAACTTCCATAATTCCGTAATTTCTTATTTCATTTTTTACCAAATATCCATTTATCTGGAAATTACATTCCCTATGATATTTATTTTCCACATTTGGTGAATATATACAGAGTGTCATTTTCAACCACGATTCTGCCTGTTGATAGCATTATCCAGAAATATCGATGATTCCATAGCTGCTGGCGAGCAGTGTTATCATTGGAGATGATCCCACTTGGTTCATGACTCCATGAGTGTATCATTTGTATCTTTCTGACAGTTGCGAATTTCTGAATCCTACCTCAATTATTTTTATATATATATTTGTAATGAGAACGCCTGGGACTATTCAACTGTGCCAAAATATACGGGGTGTTCCATTAGAAAAAACATAAATGGCAGCCGTATCTTTTCAACGTTACCCTGTATATAATTTCTGATGATGCCAATGGATTCCACGCATCATACTGTATAAATATACGTTTGAAATTTTTTGATACCTCTCACCGTAAAGTAGTCAGAAAATAAAATCGAAATCGGCAAATTTTCAATTTCCCCCTGTATCTCTAAAACGAAGGAAGATATCGAAATTTTGATTGTGCCATTCGAGGTTTCTCCAAAATCGAACCCGGAACATGTATATCGGTTTTTCGATAACTCCTCTAGTTATTGAGATAGACGGTGAAAACGCCCAATTTTGCCCACCCTGTACTCCTAACACAAATACCTTTGGCCGCGGACGCTCAATATGGATAACCCCCTGTATATTTCGTAATCTTATCATGCCCCAATACCTTTATAATAACATTCAGAAACTTTTGTGTTAATATTATAGAAAATTGAAGTTGATTATCAATATTGTGAAAATTCAATATTTTGATTTACTTACAGATTACGAATTACAAAAAGTCTCATCTCATATATCACATGCACGCATATTTGTACATTGACATTGTAACATATTCTTCATATCTTCGAATAAAATTATTTTTTATACTATATTCATATACTTATTGACTGTTTTTTCTGTAGATATTATTATGAATAATTTTTTCACTCATGCATTATAACAAAGAGGGACACCTAAAATTTTGCCAGAGTTTGGTGTTCATGGGAATCAACTTCTGTAATTTTCCATGGATTTAATCATCAAGATTGTCATACCATACCATATCGGGAAAAAAGTGATGAGGTTTTTGTAGTTTGGGATCTTGATGAGGTTATTTTCTTTTAGGGATTACGAACGCGCGGAACGCACATGGCAAGAAAACCATTTTTTTTACGTCGTTTGAATATAATTGTAGATTTTTCTGGCATTTGAGCTCATCCCAAGATTAATCTTGCAATTAAGCCTTAATTGACAAATTTATCTTGATGCATTTAAGCTAATTAACAAATTTATTTTTGGCATTTAAGCAAATTGAAAGATTTAACTTGCAACTATAACCTAAAAATCGTTTAACCAATAATATACAGGGTGATTTATCAATTTTCCTCATTTTTTCAGTTAATCATGACTTATCAATGACCCTATAAATTTTTGTGATATTTGGTTCGTAATTTCTTTGTCGGGTCGAAACAACACCCTGTATATCAATATTTCGAAATTTTACATACAAATTACAAGATGTACTTCATTTCTTTTTGAGTAATGATGAGTATCTTCTATAGAACATAAAGGTGAGGTTAGTAAGTTTTGTAGAATATTTTGTAGTTCAATGGATTATCGAATCAAAATCAAGATGAACGTTTTGGAGTTGGTGCTCATCTTCTAAGAACCATAACAACAAGAAATATAAAATATTGTCAGATCATTATCTTTTGATCTCAATTTGATCAGTTTACAGCTTATCAATGGTCATTGACAATTAAGATATTGAAATCGATATCAATCTAAGATTATGCTCATTTTGAAGGGTATAAATAAATACTGGCTATGACTTCGGTGGTATACCTACATCATTTACCAAACTAACCTATCATGTTGTTACCTCTAATATTTTTAGGGGTATTTGTGACCGTTCGGGCTGAGCGTAAGTATTTCCTTCAATATTATACATGATTATACTATAGATATTACAATATTATGGGTCTTGTTAATCAATAAGTTTATGAGAAATGTGGTCTCTGGTTCTTAGTGAGTAAATGAATCTGATACAGGAATTCTGAATTCTTTGAATTCTCGCTGATGAAACTGCATCCAAGCATGGACCATATACTAAATCAGCATAATTAGTATGACTCAATACTAGTGATTCACATAGTTGCTTTCTCAAGGGTACATTGATTAAAGACCTACTGCGATATAGATTCTTCAATGAAGAGTTACACTCACTAACAATAGATTTAACCTGTGCCTTGAATCTCAGCTTACAATCAATAAGAATTCCTAGACTTTTAACTACATCACAGGGCTCTATACTCTAACAGGAGCAATTTCAATTTTCAAATCAGATTTCACCTCTACTGATACATCACCAAAACATATAGGGTTAATCTTCAGCCCATGCTCATTAGAGTATGCAACTATGTTCTCCAAAGTTTGATTTATATCTAAACATGCAGTATTCAACTCATCAGCAAGGAAACTTTCATAAACGTCAGCAAACTGATCAATTGTACAATTTACAGAATTCCTATTGAGGTCCATAGTATATATTAAAAATAGAAGAGGTCCGAGTATTGAGCCCTGCGGTACACCTTTATCAACAAATCTAGACCTGGACTGCACATTGTCAATTAACACATATTGGCTCCTATGAGAAAGATAGCTCCGTAATTGTTTGACTACCCTATTAGAAAAGCCATAATAGTTCATTTTAGCCAAAAGGAGTTCTCTGCCTTGTTTTACATCTGGTCATACTCCACATATTAATTACCAATGATTTTTACTAACAAACATAAGGATAAATTAACGGTATTTTTCAGATATTTCCGAGAGACTTTTACTCAATGAAGAAATAAAATTTTGGACGGGAAATTTTCAATACATCTGAGAAAAAAAATATTTTATTCAGTACCTATGAATTTATGCATTTTCTGCAACGATTCAGTCCTAAATTTTGAAATTATGAACTTTCTGATAAAAAGAAATATTCATGTGTCATTTATCGTCAATGATATTGAAAATATTTATTCGATTCGATTCTGATTGAATACATTGAATGACACCTAATGAAACTTTCAAATATATAGGTACCATAATTGAGCCATAAAAAATTAATAACCGGATTGGTGAATTCGATTTTACTCTCAAAGGTTAGGTTAATATAATCGAAACAAGTCGAGAATATGTATTTGAGTTTCAATTTTCATCATATATAGGTACTCCGAATACTGAATGATGATCTAGTCATGGTATCGCCATCTAGTAGCGTTAGTTCTGAAATATAGTCTTAAGGCACGTCATCTCCCTCAAAACTAGAGCTACTTGAAGAAAGATATTCTGTTATCCATCAACAATGTCCCTTCGAGTTTTTCTGACTCAGCAAAAAATCTTGGAGTATGGACAGATTCCTCCCTACGATTTCATAAACAAATCTCTGGATGTATAAAGAAATCAATCTGGAAACTGACACTCCTATATAGCTCATGTTCCTTATTGAACAGACATCTAAGAACTGTACTCTGTAACTCGCTAGTTTTGTCAATGTTCAACCATTGTTACACTGTTTTTGGTCCATGTCTCACGGCAGTTGATGCTCAAAGGATACAAAAAATACAGAATCACGGTTATGGGATCTAGTTAAGTATACCGGGTGACACAAGGTATCGGGCCACCCTGCATTCGTAAACGGATTTTTCTGAAATTTGAAATATGAGCAATTATTTCGAATTTACTAACATTACAAATCAATATGTCGGACTTCCGGTTTTTCTGGAAATGCCAACAACCCGGTTTTTCTGGAAATGCCAACAGCTTGGTTTCTTCAAATGGAACACCCTGTATATTTTACATATTCAAGTTGAACAGGTCAAAACAAGTGCAATATTTATGTCGAATGTCATTTTTCCGAAATAATTTAATCTAAAACATTTTGTTTATTTCACCTCGTGGGTGAGGTGTGGTAAAGGCTATTCATTCACAATCCGTCCCACATACTACAGCAACTAGAGAATCATATTTTTTTCTGAAAAATGTGTTTTGTGTCACTTATCGATGAATCATTTCAGTCATAACACATTTTGGTCAAAAATTAATTTTTTTTTTTCAAATAGAACCCCTATGGGCCAGCTACATGTCTCTCTAGTACATACATCGAGGAAAAAAAATGGCATCATTTTCGTATTTCGGTGCAGTAACAAATTGTTTACATTAAAAAATCAACAACTAGTTTAATTAATTCCCTTGCAGTTCGAATAATCTTTCAACTAAGTAAGCTGTGGAGAGCCAATATTGAACTTGAATATGAAAAAACAAAGTTGCTGGCATTTGCAGAAATAACGGAAGTCCGCCATATTGGATTTTAATGTGATTAAATCCGAAATGGTTGCGTATATACATTTACCAAATTCCATGAAAAACTGTTCACGAATGCAAAAATTACAGTGGTTGCCCGTTACCCTGTGTCATTCGGTATAATTACTCGGTCGGAACTATTTGAAAATCACCACCTTTTATATTTCGATATGAACGTATTTCATTATTCTAATCGATTATTTTTTGCAATTTTATAGCCATTTGTCCTTCAGTCGACGGTCCGACTCCAGTCTATTTCGCAGACGAAACCGACTGTTCCAGATTCTACGAATGCTCCAATGGAACTCCCTACCTATTTGACTGTTCAGATGGACTCGACTTCAATCCCAGTAGGAACGTTTGTGATTGGCCTGAACAGGCTGGTTGTAGAGGAAAATCCACCACCACAATTTCCCCTACTGTAGATCCAGAAACCACAAGAAATCCTAGTACTAGGAGACCATTTCCTCCTAGATCGACAACCAGGAGACCAAGACCAACCACGAGACAACCGACGGAAAGACCAACGCAAAGACCAGAGCCAACAGGAAGACCAAGACCTACGTGGAGACCAAGACCTACCTGGAGACCAATACCGACAAGAAGTCCAAGTACTACGCTGAGACCAAGACCAACGCTGAGACCAATACCAACGAGAAGACCAATACCAACGAGAAGACCAATACCCACGCTAAGGCCAAAACCAACGCGAAGACCAAAACCGACAAGAAGGCCTAAACCAACGAGAAGACCAAGACCTACGCTAAGGCCAATACCAACACTACCACCTCGACGAACGACAGCGAAGCCTGATGACTCCTCAGGGTCGAGTGATTCTTCTGGATCATCGGAGTCTTCAAGTTCTTCTGAATCCTCTGACTCATCTGAATCTTCCGATTCCTCTAGTTCATCTGATGAATCTTCCGATTCCTCTAGTTCATCTGAAACTTCCGATTCCGTCGATACATACAACTCTGCTGATGATTTCTCAGATTTAGTCAAGTTAGGACTCCTCGATCAACCATCTCAACGTCTGGACTTAGACGAGCATGCTATGTGCAATGAATTGGATACATTTTATCTGTCAATATATCCTGGGGAACTGAACAAGTATGTGATTTGCGATCATGGAGAGCCACATGTAGCAGAATGTCCAGATGGTTTCGTTTATCATGCAGCCATTTCCATTTGTACTAGAGCAAAACTCGCTTGAGATAACGCAATATATCAATTGTATGTGACCATTAATCCAAAAGAGGTAAACCATATTGTATTGTGAGAGATAAAAATAAATTAGTTCGGATTGAATCCAAATGTTGGTCTTTGATTGGGCACAATTACAGTTCAAAATTCACTCACCGGCAAAAAACGGGCCATCAAAGAATTTGAGCCCTGTAACTTTTTTAATTCTTGTCCGATTTTGGTGAAATTTTGACCAAATCGTATATTCATTTTCAGAATGTTAGTCTGAATATTAGTTCCTAAGAGAAGCTCCGAACGCCCTTTGGAGAAGGTGGGTGGTTAAAGCTTCATTATGTTTTGGATTGACTAAATGGTTTTTGATTCACGTCGATTACCACTTTTCAATAGAAGATACAAGTGTTTTGAATTTCTATTAACATCAATAATTTAGGATCTATAGGGCATCTTAGGGATGAACTCCTGGGGGTCATTCGCCTTCGTCCGGCCTAGTCAGAGACTCTTTCCCCTTTTGAGGAGAATTTCAGGCAATTCCTCAAGACCATCACTTGAAAACTTTGATGAATGCTGGAATTCGAACTCGAGGAGGGTATACTCGTTATTAACTGCAGGTATGCTTTTTATTTGATTTCTGTAATTAAGGTTTTTTTCGGTAAGTGCTATGAAAATGAGGTAGAAATAAGTAATATTAATTCATTAAGTTTTTGATCAATAAGTTTATGTCGGTTGTGATTATTGGTAATAAAAATTAAAAAAGCCATACGTTCTATTAAACACTCGTATCTTCTGTTGGAAATAGGACATTGATGTGAATGTTGAGAAGGGATCACAGTTCAATCGAAAGCATATAATATAATAAGTCAAGTTCAACCACTCAAATTTGCCACAGGGCGTCAAGAAGTAATATGGGTGAAGAAGTCACTTTGGTTTTTTTCTGTATAAAGATGAAATCATCAGCTCTTAACTAAAACTATTATTCAGGCTAACATTCCGGAACATGAATCTAAAATTTGATCGAAATTTCACAAAAATCGGACATGGATTAAAAAAGTTACAGGGTGAACAAGTTGGACCAATTTTCTGGTGGCCGTTTTCTTTGTCGGTAAGTGTATGTACCTACTCTCTCATACTAACCATGCCATATCTTGTACGTTAAGCATAATTCATTTTGATACTATCTCCCCACTAAGCAAAGCAAACATGCAATATTGCTGCAAGGATACATTTTCAAACTTCACCTTCCCAATATTGCTGAACTTCCGTTGCATTAATTGCTTCAACATTGCATCAACATAACTTTAAAATTTGCTTAGTGGGTCTGGTTTGCGAAGGAGCAGGTTTCGCCCTCTTTCCTGGCGAAAGACGTACTTACGCTGACGCAGCTTACCTATTCGAGAAAATCAGGAAGTAGGCGGCCTCTGGTGTAGAAACTTTCCACGGGTGCTCAACAAATAAATATTTGTTTTACTAGGCAGAAAAGCACAAAATTTAATGCCGTTGCTGGCTTTGCCAAGACGTGACTGAGGCTAGCAAACCAGTCAAGACAATATCTTCTTTCCTGCTATGTGAAACATATAATTTTTTCTCCAAATTCATTTTAATTTCAAGCAACGTCCAAACCCATACAACACGGGATATCCTATGGACGTCCAAATCATGTCCACTTCATGTCGGGATATCCTTGGACCTTTTTGGATATCCATAGGATATCCAAAATTCACCCGCGCGGATATAATCAATGTAATAAATTGTGAATATGAATTAAATTGATGAAAATTCAAATCTATGTGTGTACATAGTTATATTACTAGGAAATATATAATATATCGAATATGGAATTTTTCAACGTCTTCTTGGATATCCAATGGATATCCATGGGATATCCTGTATTGGAGCATTGAACCACGTCGTTGAACAATAACGCCCAGAATAACATAGAGATGTCGACAAAGTCGGCAGTGTCGGACTCACCAAACATATTTTGGATGTCCATGTGGGTCCCATATATTTAATAACAACTATATGGGTAACGTCCTATCCTTTCCTTGTTCAAAATTGAAGCCAGTTTTGAGAAACAAATGACAGTCTGCGAGACAATGAATAATCATACGTTCACTCGCCAGCTAACAGATGCGCATAGAACAGAGTAGAACTGATGTCGTTTATTGTGTTCGGCTCATGCGCCTTAGTATCAATTTGCCCGTAGACTGTCTTTTGTTATCAATTTTTTGGCTTCAATTCAGAGATCTTGTCACCCATATAGATGTTATTAGATATATGGTGGGTCCATGACGCGAACGCAGACTACAGAACTCAAATAAGTTCTGACTTCTGTGCCACTGTCATTTTCTATCCAATGTGACTTGTGACAGTTGTGACTGTGACCTGAGAGTCCTGAGACTGTGACAATAAAGGTCAACAGCATCAGAGCATCAGCACGCATTACGCATCAGACTGTTTTCATATTTTATCTGAATGTTGATATCAATGATATCTTGATTTGATTATTTTTGTCGTTGTTTGAGATTACCCAAAAGTTCTTGAACGATGTTCTATGGACGTCATTGAAGGATATTTTATGGACGTCCGTGAAGGATATCCTATGGACGTACAAGTTGGTGGCCTCAGGACATCCATTGGACGTCCATGGGATATGGACGTTATTTGGATGTCCATTGGATATCCAAAATATCCTGAATGGATATCCTATGGACATCCATCGGATGTCCATGTGTTGTATGGGAATAATCCATCATTTTCTGCGCACCTAAAGTCATCGTTGTCTATTCTGCTTACCAATTACTCGGAACGTACCTGTAAGTAAGTATAATCAGCTTTTGGCTATTGAAAAATATATCATAGAATTGAAAAATGTTAAATGTGAATTCAGAAATAAGTAAAAGTGAGGTTACTATCACTCGTCAGGTTGACAAGAAAATCATCTATAAAAATATCTTTGGTCCAGGTGAGCAATATCAACAATATTGCTAATTACGGTACAAACAGATTGAAATTTGTTTCCCAAAATGGGATAATATGCAGATTACATTTTACAGTTTCTCGAACAGCCATTATGGCTACGGCATATTGACCTGTCGTGAAAGTGACAAGTGAAAGAAAATACTGGCACAGAATACGACGGGGACAGAATAATGAAAGCAAATTTGAAGTTGACATTTGACATGACATACAAAAGACATGGCATATGTCAGAGAAATTGCCAAAAATTGTTTTAATAATGTTAGAAACAATAACTCATGGATGTAAACAATATGGAAATGAGTCAGTAGACCAGTTTGATACATACATTTGATGGATACAACAGAATAACAACAAAGAACAGCAAAATATAGACACAGACAGATACCACGATACCAGAGAGCGGATACAACAGAATAACAACGAAGAACAGCAAAATATAGACATAGACACTCTCACCCCTGACTCCTGCCCTGTGTTAAGAAATGTGACCAGCTGATCTTGACATTGACAATAACGAAAATGACATTGCTAAAACATCAATACAATAACAATACATCATAGAATCAAAACCAAAACATTATAATTTTAATATTTTCTCATCATTGATTACCTTTGGTGAATAATGAATGAGTAGATGGAAAGTATTATTTTTGTTCGTTTTAGAAATTGCGACGGAAATGTTTTCAGAAGATATCTATCGTTATACAGTACTATCTCATTTTCCCTCTCCAAATAATAGGTAAATATAAATTTATTAAGAATTATGATTAGATTTTTGATTCATATATGGATTTTAGTTTCAGGACAAGATGGCAAATAGACAGAAAAATGTCCATTATTCTACTGTTTCTGATTTCTCCTTTGATATTCTGTTTCACCTACCTATCAATGTTTGGAATGCCACATTTCAAATATGGAATGACTGGTGAGCATAACAAGCCTTGATAATTCAAATATTATATTGAATGCTTTCAGTGCCTGAACAAAGTGTTCACCGTGCCATACTATACAGTTCTTCTCAAAATATGAGTCATCATCCATGGGACTTTCATTTAAAAACTCACAAACATTATGCTGTGAAAGGCTATAAACTTGTTTGCTACTACAGTTTACCTAGTAGTTCTGATTCTCTACAAGTGGAAGATATTGATCCATTTTTATGTACCCACCTCAATGTTGCATTTGCTACTGTTGTGAACAATACAGCATATCTAGATGAAAAACAGAAAGATTATTTGAAGAAACTACTGGAACTAAAACAGTCTAATGAAAACCTCAAGGTCTTGGTTTCTGTTGGTGGTGCTGGAAATATTGGTGGTTTTCCAGAAATGGTAGCCAATCATACCAATAGAAAAACGTAAGAATAGATAAATATGTAGGGGAGGGGTCACTATGTCCAATATTTGTACACTGGGTGTCTAATCCTTATGAAATCTGTCCAATCCAAGGTCCATTTTCAGCCTAATAATCCTATTCTTGCAATCCAAATGTTCAATCTGCTATTTTTAATATTCCATAATATCTGTCCAATCCTACTCCCAATCTGTGTACGTTTTTGAGAGAGTGGATTACCCCTCCTATGTAGGGTGATTTGTTTGTTAAGTGCTAATAAGTAGGTACATTGTTGAATGAGGTAAGATTTTCCTGAAATCTATAGATTTGAAGGTGAAATAAAATGCCTCCAACCCTCTTAGTCTCTTTGAAGAAAAGCAGGCACATAATTTGAGTTCAGCTGTTTTGTCTTTCACATAGCAATACTGACAGTATGTTTGTTAGTTCATATTTCCTTTCTAAGTAGAGTCTTAGATGACCATGTTCCTTTAAATGGTCCTGCTAGAATTATTACAGACTATTTCTGCTCCATTCTAGGATTGGCCTGGTTATATTTTTCCATGGTTTAAGTAAAGATGCCTTTGAATGTGTTTATCCTAGTGATTCAGACCCAATGTCCAATCCAAAATAGTTGTTCTGGTCACAATTTTGGTATGTGGTGACACCAAATTATGATTCTGGTCTTATATATGCAGAATTGGTTCCCCTTTTGGCAAGCATGTTGGCTTTTTCATTGCCCTTCTTTCTCTAAAGTCTGAGCAGCCACAGCAAAGTACCTACCTAACTCTGTTATTAGCACCAACACCCTATAGGGATTCAATACAGCTCTGTGTTTTAAGAGCAGCTAGCTGTCTAATGCAATACTGATATTTTTGTATTTTTGTTGAAAGTATGTGAATTTTCTTGCACACAATTTAATTGCCAAAACTTCTGCCTGAAAGATTGTACCATACTTTCTGAGGTTGACCCAGTCTTCAATCTTCAATCTACACACTGTAGTATGATACATAGTGATTTAATTCAAATGGAAAATAATCCATGAAATGATAAAACTACATGAAATAGTAGGTTGTTTATTGAGATATAGGACATCAAAGTTCATATTTCTTCCAAGAGGATCTGAATTATTTCAATGTTATTGAATTATATGTCTCTAGTTTTACACAATATGCAGGTAACACTGAGGTTATCACATCACAAACATTTCAATTGACATATATGGTGGTACATATTTTAAATACCTAGGTACATACTGTTGACACAAAATTGTTGAATTTGTTTTTTAGTAAGCCATTCTTGACCAGATCCTGATACATTCCTCAATTCTGCCATATTCAATACCTAAATTTTGGCCTTGATCTCTCCTGATTATACTTCTGATGTAACTTATTGTCATCTAGAGTCAATGAATTCTTGCAAGTTTCTATTTCTTAGGAAATTGATCATATTAATATATTCACTTGACTGCCAGTATCTTGTGGAATTTTGAAATATGAAGTGTTTATATGTGGTGAGATATAATATTTGAAAATACTCATTCAATTGAAAACAGGATCGCCCTTGATCGCAAAATCTATGGGGGATTCATGCAAAATAGATACTGGGTGATTATGATTGATGAGCAATGAGCTTTCTGAATTGCATCTGATCAAATTTCATCAAAAGTCTTTCAAATCAAAGGAGAATGATAAATCGAAAGTGATCAATGTCTTGCAATTGGCTAGTAGCATACTAAATAAAAGTTATATCGATTTTGTTGTCAACAGTACTCAAAATATATATCACCCTGTAGGGTAAACTGTCCCACAGTGAACCATCGTACACGGTGTACCATTTCTAATTTTACACCTACCGCTATTTAGATTGAAGCACTAATGGTAGGATCTATTGTGTCAACATATCAGTATCATCAACCGTCCCAAGATTTTAGTTCATATGAGAATCACTATTATCAGTGTATCTAAATCTAAATTCAAACTTGAATGCCTATAATATCACTCAGAAACTAACCGTTTTTAGGTATAGCATTAGTCATTAGTAGATTATTATATTTATTAATACTCAACCACCCTGTATATTGTAATTGGTATGTTTTCTGCTAATTACTCACTATTTATTACCTAATCAAGATTGCTGCACTATTGCTGTATTATAATTATTATATTTTTCAGTTTCATACAATCTGTGATACATTATGTGAAAAACTATGGTATTGATGGAGTTGATCTTGACTGGGAGTTTCCAAATGAGGAACCAGGAAAAGATAAGATTCAAAGAGTTCATTTCACACAATTACTAGAAGAATTCAGGAAGAGCATAAATAGGGAGCCTCATTTTCCATACATTTTGTCTGTCTCTGTGGCAGCTCCAGCAGCTATCATAGATAACTCCTATGATGTTGCATATATAAATGAGTATGTTTTGAAGTAACTTTTTGCATCCATAGTATAATATGTGTTTTGGATATCAAAGTACTAGTCTGCTTAAGAAAATAAATTACAGGTTCCTGATATATCAGTCAGGATTGGCACAAAAAACTGCTATTTAGTGATCAATCTTGGATCATCAGAGAGGAATAATCTAAGGGGCATTCCACTGATGATTTTGATTCAAAATATTCCTGAGATCATTTCATCTCAAGGTTATTTTTTTGTGACCCCATAATTCTTGATGACTATTTTCAAAATTTAAAACATCACATCAATACTGTTTGCAAATAGCAAAATGGTTGTAGAGAAGATATTGCTGTCACAGCAATATTTGAGAAAGTGAAATTATGATTATTGGTCAATATGATCTGTCATTTATAGTTACAGTTTGTTGCTTGCGATTTCGGCAACATAAATTTCGTGCTTGCTATCAACATGAAATTTAGAAAATAGATGATTATATGTACATCTAGATGAACATAATACTTCACTTGTTTTACTAGACTTCTTCCGAAATATTTCCTTCAAATTTTTATATGTGAAGAAATTAGGAGACCACAAGTTCCACATATTATGAGGGACACTAGCAATTCATTTGAGTTGGTACCTAACTAAGTTGAAAGCATATTGAAAGAGTTGAGTGACCTGATTAATGAACAACTAACTAAAAGATAATTCCTTTTCACATCAAAATGAGTATAGATGCAAACCTACTTTGTCAGTTGAGGCATGCAAAGCCAAGAGAGGTAAGTGACATGATCTTAATGTTTCGGAAATTAAGTTGAAAGTTTGAAGCTCATGATAAATCCTAGGTGAATAATTGTGCGCACACTTTCATATTTTCAAATCACATAATGTTTATCATGACCTGTTTTCCAAAATTTGATAAATTGAAGGTAATAGTTACTCTAGATATAATGAATCTCTGATAAGTAACAGAAGAATAGGAACATAGGGTTATCACACGAAAACGATATATTTGAGTACAGTTGTACAGTATATAGATATCAAGGCACTAATTCATAGTGAACATTAAAAAATTCAGCATCTTACACTAAAAATCCACAAAACAGCTTCCATTCAGCTACTGATGGAGGCTATAGTGACTGTCTAGAGTCACTGTAATGGAGGCCAATGGCGTCAAGTGCACTTTTGGTCTTCAAAATCCATCCCTACCTCTATTGGCTTATGCGAATTAGTTACTTTTTTGCAGAGTTGAACTATTTGCCAACAGATGTCATTACATATCAGAGATTCACTAATATCCCTTTCTACCACATACTTTTTCTATACTTTCACTACCTGACTGCAGTTATCTCAAAATCTAGAGATATGTCACTTATTACCTCCCTTGGCTCGGTGCTTTAGTTGAAAGATGAATTTATGTTCATCATACAAGGGTGAAGAAGTTCTTAATTGAGAAAACCCAATCACAAATCTGTGATTAGAGGTCTGTTAAAACAAATTTCCATCGTTCAAGTTTGAACCCCTTGATTGGGTATAAAAAGCTTTGAAAAGGAATATTCTCAGAGATAAGTATATTATACGAGCATAAAAAAAAAGAAACATACTTATATAGAAATACATTGAGAATTCGCATTCTCTATCAGATGAAATATAAATTCAGAAAACAACTATTGTGTGTGTGTGTGTGTGTGTGTGTGCAATAGATGTATGTACTTAATTCAAAATGTTCGTCGTGTCATATATAGCCAGAAAATTAGTTGTTTTCTGTTGAATTTCAATAAATAATTCATATTAATAACAGATAGAGAAATCGACTTATTGACTACAACTAACTTCAGCTATGAATAATAATAATAATCTCACTAATTTTTTCAATCCTATTGAAACGGCGGTAATGTGATCGAGATGTTTCATTATCATAGTAACTTAACTGGCGAGAATGTGGACTGTGTGTATACTTGTGGATGATAATATACAGAAAACAGATTACTGTAGACAGCATTCACTGGATGTTATGAGGCATACACTATAATTTACATTTTCTGCCTGACCTGAAATCTCATGGCAATAACAAACTTGAACATAATAATAATAAAAAATTGAATTGAAAAATCTCAACACACCAGATTTCTTGCAATTGCAGTTGTATATGCTTTTGTTTGAAATGTTTATATTTTCAGATATGTGGATTTTATTAATGTGATGTCATATGACTACCATTTTTATACAAAAGTAACCCCTTTTACTGGTATCAACAGTCCATTATACACAGCTGATAATGAAAAGTACTACCTAAGTACACTAAATATCAATTATTCTGTGAATTATTGGAATTATTTGGGTGTGGAGCGTCATAAAATAAATGTAGGGCTACCTACATATGGACATACATTCAGGTTGGTGAAACTTTCAGATATTATTAATCCATACAAACCATTTCATATTGAAATGTATTTTTTCTACGTATTACAATATGCGAATCAAATATTAATATGGTTTATTTTAATATGAACTATCATTATGGAACATATTTTTTTCTGTGACAAAAAAAAAGTTTGACATTTCACCTCTGTTGACAGGTTATAAAATGTTACTTTTCATGGATTACTTTTTTCCCAGATATAATAGCAATATGCTTTTTACCTTGTTACTTTCTCACAACTGAGATCAATTGAGTTAGAAGGAGGTGAGACGGATCTGAGTTGTCGATTGAATAAAAAGAACAGGTTTTTATCTGTCAGGAAGGGCAAGGGAAGAAAACATAACCCAACATAATTCAACCAAAATGTAAAATGGCTGAGGAAATTAATGAGGAGCATAGAAATATTATCGTAGTGAGTATTCAAAGGATTCAACCTGTGGACTGAAACTTCAAAGCTGTAAGCATGTCAAAATGAAAATATAACCTCACAATTTTCAGCACAGAACCACAGAATTACTAGAATTAATCCAGTCTCACCTTTTTCTCACTACAACACCAGATGAATAGCAAGCTCAGTTGGGGTGAGGGGAAAGAAATTGTCTCAATAAGTTCTTAAGACAACTCACATCAGACTTAGATAAATGAAACATGTAATTCAACTGAGCCATTGAGCTGCACTGAGAATCTTGGTTAATCTCAGTCAAAGTTTGTAAAAGGAATATTACTAAATATACACTGATCGTGGCTTTTGTTGTGAACTAAGCCAATAACACCGTCTCCGAGAAAGAACTGCAAGTCCTTTTATTTTCCATTCCACTTCGCGGTTTCGTAGATTACTAAACAACCACTAAGTTCGCCATTTTTCTAGCTCACATCAGCACATCACAGAATTAGACTGAAAGATATTTGATTGCTTCAAAAGAATGTTAAAGATGCCTGCAACGCAGGTGTGATTCCTGTCGAAAACTTCAAATTTCATGTCGATAATTTTCTGATTTTAATATAATGTGATATCTTTCCAATATTGATTCGTCCTTCCTTCTGTCACAGAAAAAAATAGTGTATTATACAAGGGAAAAATATTAGATTTTAGCTCACGGTTTTTTGTCTCTCTGCGCTCGGAGACAACACTACCTCGAGCTAAAATCTAATTATTTTTATCCTTGTATGATAACTATTCACCAATGAATACACGTACCACTTTTCATTATGAAACCAGTTGCGGATCACCGCATAGACGCAGTAAGCGCACGCTTAGGGCTCCGAAGAACAAGGGGCCCCAAGGACATCAATTCATTTAAGAACAACTATCAAAATGCCTTCATTGTAAATATTCACAAATTTATTTTTCTACGGCTATAATACAAAATTGCTCTTGTTTTACTGTGTTCGATACATCAATGAGGTACTTTGTGTGTCATCAATTTTATTTCCGTATCTGATATCACAATTTATCTGAAAAAAATCTCATTGCTCATGGAATGTCAAATTTCAAGCAATGACAGCTCTTTCTAATAGATAAACATGGATAAACGTTACTTGAGAGGAAATCAGATGGCTACAAGACGAAGAAATCAAAAATGCCGCTGTTATCTGTTACCGCCGTAGAAAAATTATAGGGTATAACTCGCACGGAATGCTAATTTCACTATCATCCCGTGCTCGTTAAACAGTGTACTAAGGCCGTTCATTTGTTTTCTCTACCTGCTAAACTTGTATATAGCGGCAGTAATTTTAAACTTGCAGAGTTTGCTGCCTCTAATAGATTTGATAACTCGTTGTCAGAAAAGGTTCAAAAGCTATTAAAACGAGCTTAATAGCTTTTGAACCTTTTTTTGATTTGATGAATAGAAATTTGTCGGTGTTTGTAGATTCAGAAACCCTGGAAAAATCTCACATCATGTCAAAGTTGACAAGTTCACTTATTGTTGTTTGACAATAGTATTTATCATTATAGTATTATAGTATATAGTATTAGTGTTTGGGATCACACTTTAAAAGGTAAGGCCCCCGTCATTCCTTGCTCGCACAAGACTTTCGAAGACTTTTGAGGGTTGCTCGTAAGGGGGCAACCGAATGACGGATAGAACAATTTTAGAACAATTTTTTTTTTTTTAGAAGGTACTTAAAATTTTTGTTGTTTCAAGCTGAAATACATACAAATATCGTGAAACGCAGTTGAATGGTAAAGAGGAATACAATGACTTCGAATTTTCCATACTAGTGAGATTTCTTGAGTAGTTTTACTTTTCCGCACCCAGTTCGATTAAAAATCTTATCCGCCCGGCGTGCGGAAAAGTGTGACTCTGCGCAGGAAAATGTGTGCAGAGAAGTACTACTTTGCGCATTTGTCATTTTTTTATGTTTGCAGGAAAAGTACTATTCATTGCAAATATGAGACTGCGAAGAATACAATATTTAATACACATTCATTTGAAGCCTATTATACAGGGTGATTCAAAATTCAATGTAAATGTTTCAAGGACATATCGGTTGGGATCAAAATAAGACTTTTTCTTCATATACCATCATAATCATCAATGTGTCCTAAAATATACCCCCTCCAAGCTACAGCCACTGTAAGTTAGTTGAAATATCGTATCAAATCTTCTGAAAATTGGCATGCCTCTGTTTTTCCAGATACTTTCAAACCCACTTGGGAGGGGGTCCATTTTAAGACACAAGTTTATATTGAAAAAAAGTAATTTTGATCTGAACAAATATGTCCTTGAAATATTTACATCGAATTTCGAATCACCCTGTATTTTCACTGTTAAGAATTGAAGATCCATGAAGCAGTATCATTGCACATCTTTGGTCAACTCATATTTTTTAAATTTTCTAAATCAAAAGAATCGACTATCGGCCTGTCAAAGAATACATATAGATAGATAGATAGATAGATACCAATTTATTCCAGTCACATTTTTACAAATTTACAAACATGCAATTATAAAAAACATTCAGGAACAAGTCAAAAACATAAGGACACTAAGATATTAATAAAATAAGTGTATATGAGTCAATAATATCCTATGTGTACATAATATATATAGTAATTGTAAAAAAAATATTATGTTATACTAAAATGTAAGAAAGATCACAGAATTTTCAGTGAGTAATAAAATCAATGGAGTGAATAAAAACAAAACTTTGTACAATCATTCATTCTTGCTTTGAAATTCCAGAAATTCTCTAACATTATATGGTTCAATTTCACAAATGTATTGGAATACTTCACTCTTGAATTTCTCAAGGTTTTTGATATTCTTGATTGAACTTGGTAAGTGGTTAAAAAACGTTATAAATGATGATTCATTTAAGAAATCGAATGTTATCTACCTCCAAACAATAAAACCCTATAAATATTAAGTCAGGAAATTGAAATAAAGATTTATCAAACGTAAATTTTCTTACTTCCAAAGACGATTAGTCCCTTCCCAAGAGGCGCACCCTAGGCTAAGTGTATAAAGTTGATCAAATTTATTATTTTCATTAATAATTTGATTTTTCGACTATGGACATTGACAACAATTCCACAACTAGTAGCATCAAACATTTTTTCAACTCCAAAACTTTCAATTAGGCTGAAGATGGTCGTTTATAAGACCGAAACATGTCCCTTATGATTATGTAACAACACCATTAAAATTTCTGGAGATGACTTCGAGCATTCCTTCCTTCCTTTGAAAAATTTCACTCCACTTAGAGCAATATGGACTTCTACCAAAGATTATTATTTTCAGGTTGATAAATCCCAGTAACAATGGAACATACGCACCTTCGCTAGGTTATGGAAAACTTGGCAAACAGGGTTTTGTGTCCTATCCTCAGATATGCCAGTTCCTCTCCTCCAACCAGATAACTCCAGTTTTTGACATGGAGACAAAAAGCCCCTACGCCTCCAAGTACTACGAATGGATATCTTTCGACAACAGTCAAAGCCTCATTTACAAAGCAGAGTATATTCGTGACAATAATTTTGGGGGTGCAATGGTATGGAGCTTGAATTCTGACGACTATAAAGGCATTTGCAAGGACGAGCAAGGGGGTGTATCCAAATTTACATTGATTCGAAATATCAAGAAAGTGCTTCAAGGGGAAAGCTGAGGTTAGGTTGAGATACAAGTGAGTGAAGCTAACTGAAAAGAGCCAAAGACTACCTTAGTAAATGACTGATCATTCAGGTATTATTTTCGGAATCACTAAAAATCTTTTGTACTATGAAATGATATTAGAATTTAACCAACGTAGGGGATCCGTAACTTACAGTGGAGGTGATATAAATCAGGATTGGTGAAAGAACTTACAATCACAACTCCACCACATAAACAATTTAATAATGACCAACGGTCATGAACATAAGGACATGTTTCGAAGGTGTAATCCTCCATCATCAGCAAATTTATAAAGAGAAAATCTGTAAGAAGAAGCAATGCTTATGTTAGTTTTTGAGTATTGCTAAAAAATTCAAATATACCTACCATTATTGGTGGAAAAAAATTATTTAAATAACCTGAAAAAATCATTTTTAACCGCGCATAGTGCGCGTGGGTGACTGGGAATAGACATTAGAGAATTGAAGTAATCACTGTACGTAGACCTCCACGTAAACGTTAAAGTACGAAAAATAACGTTTACGTATTGTCTTCAAATTGAGTTGAAGTCGTCACTGTCATCGTAACGTTATAACAAATTATGTTATCGGTTTGTATTGGTCAGTTTTGGTTGTTTGTTTAGATCATAACATTTATTCGTGTTAAAATGGAAGGTTGCCCTGATGCAGAACTCCTTAAGGATTCCGAATTTGATGATTTTGACTCATTGGCATATTTCGAGTTTGGTTCGGTTAACGTACGTTGATATTTAAGGTACCTATACGTGAAAGTACGTGAGATAACGTACACCCGTAAGCCCACTACCAACGCGAACGTAAAGAATTGAAAAATGCGCATGCGTAGCTGTCAATTTCTACGTTAACGTTAACGTTCGTGGCAACACTTCAACTCTCTATTATCAGAGCACTATAAGAGCTTAGTTTTCAAAAATAGTGTAATATAAAGCAAATATTAGAATGAATCGACTTGTCGGTCTGAATTTGTTGAATATCGGTTCATTCTAATATTTTATTTATATCAAACAATTTTTGAAAACTAAGCTATTATAGAACTGTGATAATGTATGTTCCCTAACAGTTACCCACCCGCACTATGCGCTGATAAAAATTGTTTTTTTCACGTTATTTAAGTAATCGTTTTCCACCAATAATGGTAGGTATATTTTGATTTTTTATCAATACTTGGAAACTAACATAAGCGTTGTTTCTTCTTACAGATTTTCTTTTTATTTTGGTGATGATGAAGGATTAATCCTTCGAAACAAGTCCTTATGTCCGTGAGCGTTATTGGTTATATTAAATTGTTTATGTGGTGGTGGTGTTGTGACATATTGTGACTGTAAGTTCTTGCACCCCTCCTAATATAAGAATTGGCTTTATTTTATAATTGATATACCTGCAGAGTATTCCATGTATCGATTTTTTGTTGACTGACACGAAATGTGAGAAATCACTATTATTCAAGACAGTTTTCCAATGAGAAGTAACATGATATCGGGCTAATAGCGATCTGTCACCTAATATTGATTTATATCAACTGAAATATTTGTCAACATCCTAATTTAGAAGTTGTGGAGTCCACTCCACCATCATTGAATTCATTAGTATTTCTTGCTATTGTTGTATGGTCAATGTAATTCTGAGATAAAAAACGTGTATCATTGAAGATATATGCCCGAACTTATATAATATGCTACACTAGTTCTTGATTGTAATTACCGTATTTAAAAAACTGACGGGCAAAATTACGTTGATATTATTTTCGTACTACGTATTACGAATTTGCTGTGGTAATAGATAAAATATATGAATATTTCTTATTGTAAATCATTGCAGAAAATTTTGAAATCTTACATGGGCAATCAAACATATTATTTTAATAAAACGCAGATCTCCCTCATTCAATTTGAATGCAGGAATATATGTCGACTTCCTTCACACAAAAAAATTGCCTACCAATAAATCTTTGTGAATCATAACCTATAATTGACGTACCTTTCAAAATGAAGTTTAATCATAAGCATCTCGGGGGAGGGTTGTTGAAAAAACACGTTTTCCAAACAGAAATAAAAATTACAACATGACAGCATGATACCTCAATCAAAGTATCTTGTAATTTTGTAAACTAATTTCACTCAGCAATAATTCGCTATTTTATATATGTGTATATTTTCTCAAATTATTGTTGCTGTTATCTGTCAGTTTGATGGTGAGCTAACAATACAACCTCTCCTGAATTATAACTAATACTGTGATAATTTTTGTGATGATCAATTTTGAATTGATACCAGTTACCAGTAAAATTCATTTGTTTTACAATCTCCAATCATGGAGTCAAGTATGTTTTCTATCCTATGAAGAAAAAAGTTATCACCGTTCACTACAATCTCATAGCAGAACCTCCCCAAATTATTAATTCAATAATTGAATTTTTGATAATAATGTCGGGCAATTTGTTACACGAACGAACCTAATATGTTATTGAATTTGAAGCAGGTTGATGATTCATGTCAAATTAGACATTAGAGAGTTGAAGTAATCACTGTACGTAGACCTCCACGTAAACGTTAAAGTACGAAAAATAACGTTTACGTATTGTCTTCAAATTGAGTTGAAGTCGTCACTGTCATCGTAACGTTATAACAAATTATGTTATCGGTTTGTATTGGTCAGTTTTGGTTGTTTGTTTAGATCAAAACATTTATTATAAAATTATCACCGTTCATTACATTCTCATATCAGAACCTCCCCAAATTATTAATTCAATAATTGAATTTTTGATGATAATGTCGGGCAATTTGTTACACGAACGAACCTGATATGTTATTGAATTTGAAGTAGGTTGATGATTCATGTCAAATATAAGCTTTATTAAATTGTTCTTGTAGTAAGTTCATTCAATTTGCAATTTCATCTTCTACAACAAAGGGTTCCACTTCTGTCAGCATGTCCCATTTTCATTACCTATTGTTCAGCTATGTATTATACCTAATTTAAATATTCCTAAAGATGTCAATAACATTCATAGAGATATTGAAATTTTTGTTAATCAAGAAGGATTACTGGTTTTTCAATTATAGGGTTTTCTCAACGTCTTTTAGGAACAATGAAATAAATAGCTAGGTCATTTATGTAAAAGACGGTGTGTCTTCATGACTTTATGGGCGCACTGTCACAAATGAAATGTATTTGAATTGTTATCCGATTCGATAGTTTTTCAATATTTTTATAACTTATTGTGCATTACCTCTTTTAAATATATATCCGTATCATGTTAAATGTTTCAGTTTTTTAGCTACAAAACTCCAATAGGTCTTGTAGTATCCATCAAAAAAAGAAAAAATGACAGATAATAGTGGTTTTGGAAGGTTTGACGCTGAGTCCGCCGACTAACCCAGTTCCTTAGTGTAATTCAGACCTTTCTGAACTATATATCACATTGTCATCTGCATAGCCTTGATAAACTTGACAGGATATTCTGAGGTCAATCAGGCTGGTCCACAGTCCACACAGATTCGTCTACTGTGAGACTATATATTAATGGGGATAGCACTCCATCTTGCAGATTGATTGTTTGGTTAAGGACACGGGGGCAAGTGGGGCCGCCAATTTCAATAGCTCCGCTGTATAATAATATTGGATCAGTCTCGTTCCAATCACGCCTGCTTACTGATGAATAATTTTAAAGGATCTGAAAATTTTTCTGATGGCCTAAGAAAGTGTTTGGGATCACACGTTGAGAGGTAAGACCCCCGTCATTACTTGCTCGCACAAGTCTCTTGAAGACTTCTGAGGGTTGCTCGTAAGGGGGCAACCGAATGATGGATAAGAACAATTTTAGAACAATAGCTCAAATATTTGTTCTAAATTTTTTTTGCGGTACTTAGGTTACACTTGCCCCATATCCATGGGACAGCTGTAACTGAGACTGTCCTTGTCCACTTGTCAACCTCCTACCCTACAGATCGACCCCTTCAAAATTTTTGAATTGTACAAGGGGTCAAGTTACACATTGATAGAGAGGTAGGTATATCAAATCTCTATACAACGGTATATTTCCCTTTGAATTCGGTTAAGCCATATCCAAAGAGAGCAATCGAAAAATTCAAAATTTATTGAAATTTTTGTCTAAATTATTGGTATTGGTAGGTATGTTATGTTTTATTGTATTTGTTCAAGTCATATATCAATTTTTAGACGCCCTGTATCGTATATACAAAGAAATACATTGAGAATTCGCATGCTCTATGTGATGGAAATATCAATTCTTTCTCGGTATATTCAACAGAAAACAACTACTTTCCTACTAATTCTTTCTCGGTATATTAAACAGAAAACAACTACTTTCCTGGCTATATGCTACAACGAACATTACATTTTATCTATCGAACACGCACACTATCAGAATTTGAAAATAAAATCTTCTGAAGTTGAGAATTTGCATTCTCCTTCAGATAAAATAGTTACCTATTTTTGTATCTAGTGCGCAAAATGTTACTTTGGTGATCGAGAATTGTTTTTCTTCACCCTTCCATCACTCGCACAGTTTGAACAAATCTAATATTCTCAAATATTTCGCCATAATTTTCGAAATATTGCTTGTTCTGGGTTCTGCAACCAGGAATACTCCTAGCGTGTGTTGATTTTTTGAGAGATCACTTGAGAAAAGTTATAACATAATTATAAAAGGTAAGATTTTTAGTGAAATATAGATTTTTGAACATAAGTTATCATAAGCGTTGGGTATTTTCATACCTCTTTTGGTTTATTGCAGGTAAATATGGATAAGAAAATGGAGAGCTAGTTACTAAAATGAAATGAAGAGATAGACAGCGACGTTGCACCACTAGATTCCGACCAAGACTTGAATGATGTAGTAGTAGTTTTTGTGTTTAAAAAATATGTAAGTTTATCGTTTTTTGTGAGTTAATTGCCAATTAACTCAACCAATAAGTACTGATGACTCATTTATTTGACCTATACCCAATATACC